AGGTTACAGAGGTTCTGGGAGGAATAGGGAATTTCTGCCTTCCAGTCCATGCTCTGTGTTGTTGCTTTAGTGCTTCCCCACTTGAATGAATGAATTCCTCAGCTCCTGGGGAAAAAAAAAAAAAGAAAAAAGGAAACCCCAGCCAACACCTTCCCCCCCAGAAAAAACCTCCCAAACCAAACCACAGTGAGAAAGGAAATGCTGAACTTTTGGGAAAATACAGAAAACAGTTCAAGTCCTGAGTGAGTTTGGAATAGCCTTTCTTTTATTCTGCAAATGAAACCAAATCCCTTTTGTTCCTTTTCTATTTCTTCTATATCAAGGGTGGCAGGAATTGAGATACGATTGTAAATTAAAAGAGAGTGGTGCAAGGCATGGTGCAAATAGAAGCCTAAATGAAATAACTATCAAAAGACTTTTCCTAAACACAGTTCTCCACCAGCCTGTTGAAAAACAAGCAGCTTCATGTTCAGGCTTTCTTCTGGACCTTCACCCCAAATACCTATGCAATGCCTCTGAGTATCTTGCCCAAGAAATGTATCTGAACATTTCTGGTTTAATCCAGAACTGTATTCTGCTGCCTAAACCTTGCAAGCCAAATTTCTAGGAGGTTTCATTTTTCCATCTGTTGACATTACTTAGAGGTTTCTCCAGATGCTCTTGTGTTTTGAAGTCCTGCCTTGGCGTATTAGAAGGAACTCGGGGATTGACTTCTGCCTTTGCTGCAACAGACAGTTTTGAAAATTCATGGGAGTAGCTTGTACTTGTCCATCCTATCCATCTGGATAAGGATTTTGTAAATGGTGAGACTGAGTGCTAGTCACTTGAACAGGTGTCTACTGTTGCCAGTATAGCTAATAAGATAGCCACTGAATGAGACTATCAGCTCCTCTGTGTTATAAATATCTTACTGACCTGATAACACTGAAAAGAGCACATTTAGGAGAATAAGGAAATATATTCTCCTGGTATAAATTTCAGCAAGAAGATTTAGGTTAGACATCAGGAAAAAAAGCTTTTTAATAGGAAGGATAGTTAAGTACCGGAATAGACTGCTTGTGGAGACCGTGGTCTCTCTGTCAGTGTAAGGACAGGTTAGAGAAACATCTGCCACAAATGGCTGTTGCAAGCCTTAGATTCCCTTGGGAGGAAAGAAAAGCCTCTGTTAAGAATCAGTTTCAGTGAACTAATGTGATACACCTTTCATTAAAGATGCGCATTAACATACTGCAGAACTCTTTTATTCTGGCTGCATTATACCGCGGTTAAGGCAATTTGCCAGCCTGTTGGAAGGCTTTCAGAAGGCTCCCACTTGTTTTCCCCTTGCATAGGCAATCTCATCTTTTGTCTGCATGGGATAACTTATGTAGTTAGACAAACAAATAGAATATATGATTAACTTTTTGTTTCACAATAGCTCTTCCTTTCCTCTTTGCAAATGTATTGGACTTCTACTTTCAACCTTGTTATCCAAAGTAGGATCTTATATTTAAGGTAAAAGTTAGCTGCTCCCCTTCCTCAACACCTCCAAATGCATCCCCCAAACAACATGACTTTACTTTCTTGATAAGACTGGATGTGGTACAGGTAGAACAAGGAGAAGTTAAGGTGAAATTCTGTCTCTTAAGAGCTGTGTCCTGGCATAAGGGAACATACCTAGGGACTAGAGAATATGATTAGAAAGGAGGTTCCACAGATCCCTCGTATCCTTAATTTTACTGGTTCTGTGACCTTCCAGGGCTTCTAGTGGAAGTTTGGATGACTGGACCCTGATTGGAGAACAGCCAATGTGTCTTGAAACTGCAGGGTAACCAATATGTAGGATGCCTGGGATGGTTTATTTTTTGTCTTTTTGCTGAGGCAAGCACTCAGCAAAACCTAAGTAATAACAGTTCATGGGCTGTTAATGTGAAATACCCTGAGACTTCAGAAATGCCTTGCTCTGCTCTACACAGCTTGGTAGGTTATATTCTTTAAGAGTAGGCATCATTACCTGGACAAATCTTTGGCATTTAATTCTGCTAACCTCTGTCCCTACAGTGAATTGCTCCTTCCCTCTCATGGCAGATTATTTAACATATGATGCACATTTATGGTTTTTTTCCTCTTCTCTTGCATTGTTTCCGTTCTCTGCACATGTGGTGTTTCTTATTATTGGTCCTTGCCCACATGTTGCTTAAGCCCATCCTTCTTTAGCTACATAAATACACGTTTGACCTTTGCATGCATAAGCATGTAAAGAAGTCTGCCCCCTTTTAATTCACAAAGCTTTACTGATTTTTCTTGTTTGTATCTGTACATGTCTACAGGTATATGGCATGTCTGATTGTTCAGGTTAGCAATGAAATGTAATATTTGCATGTATTCTTGAGACATTCTATAGTTGATCTGAAAAATCAAGTCAGAACATTTCCTTACATCCTGTTTTTCTTCCTCTTTGGACAATTTAGAATGATTTTATTTGAATAATAAGGAAAGGACATGTGCTACTGTATTTGCAGGTTAGGTGGTTCAGTGCACAGAAGGCTGTGACAAGACTGTCATTGTTACCCTAATTTCACGATGTTGTCTATGTAGTACAACACTGTGAAACGTGCCTGGCACACAGCCTTATAAACTCCCCTTTCTGTCCCAGAGAACTTCTGGGTAATTATGGGTTGGGTTTGCCTATCTGATCTAATTTATCACTTAGGGGGTTATATCATGCCTGTTACTGAGATATCTAAGTGCTGCTGAGATTCTGCAAGATGTCTCTTTCATCAGCCACTTATTTCTATGATAAGTTAATGTTCCTGAGCTGAAATCTGGGCTGTTCTATGCAGCATCTTAATCACTGGTCCCTACTGTGCCCTGTGTGTGCAGTTATTCTGCTTGTCTGGTAGCTTCACTGAACTGCTTTTGGGGATTTGATCTCAGTTACTTGAGAGCTGAAGTGGTACTGCAGAAATCTGTCTCAGATGATGATAAATTGACCTGCTTGGTGAATGAGTGGGAAGTCCAGGGCTGAGCAGACCCTGGGTGAGCATGTGAGTATATGCTCTTTATTCCCTTAGAAATTCACTGTCCACATCCAGGCTTAGATTTTAGCATGAGTTCAGGTCATCTGCTGCCCTAATCAACTGCCTATCTTTTGTGGACATAAGGAGCCACCAGTTCATAAGGCGTGCAGTTTTCCAGCTTTAACCTGATGCTCAAAGTGTATTTAAAAATTAAAACAACTCCTGCCTGACCACTTAAGTGGGGGTTCTTACAAACCCCCTGCCTTGCGCTCACTGGGGTGCTTTGTTCACGCTGCAGGGATGGATGGGGAAACTGCTGTCTCTGAGTGTTTCTTCTGCCTTTCTTCTCCCTCCACAAGCCCCCAGAGTGAATTTTTCTTTCATGGCCAGATGAAGTGTTTGTTTGTTTGTTTGTTTTGAAGGTGACAAGTGTTTTATGTGAATTCTAGATGCTCTGAAATGCCAAACCCCAGCTGGGCTTTGAGTTTCGCAGATTAACCGCTGACACCTAATGAGCTTTTAATAAGTGCTTCTCCCTCCCATCCTGTCATTTAAATAAATAAATGACTGAAATTTGGGGGTGGTGGGAGGAGTGTTGGATTGTAGTGGAATGAAGCTTTTCTGTTTACCCACCAAGCAGGTACACGGCAAAGAGCAGTCATGCAAGCTTCCCACACCCACGCTGCCTCTGCCATCAACATCAGCATGTCTCAGCCCTGGCCTGGAGGGTTTACTTTGAGGATCCTGCAGGAAAGTTCCTTCTAAAGCCCAGTTAGCTTCTTAGCCAAGGTGCTAATTAGTATCAACTGTCATGGGGAGACAGGAAATTGAGAACAAAGATGAGACTTTGGTAGTTGAAAGTATATTTGATGTTCAGGTTTTTTCTTCTCCTGGAATTTTTAGCAAGAAATTGTCTACTCTGGGCAGGGGGTGTGCTTACATGTATTGTCTCTTTAAGGACTCTAGTGGCTTCAAAACAGCTCTCATTTGTAGCAGGAGGTATATGGCATCTGAGACCCACCCCTTGTTTTGACTGTTGAAGATATGATCTCTATTCACTTAGGAAACAGAAAATAGAAAGTACTAAAATTGCAATGGAAATTTATGGAGGTGATGAAAATTATAGAAAAATAGCAAGATTTCAAAAAATCATAGATGCTCTTTGGTTTTAATTTTCACGTCTCAAAACCAAAAACAAAGAATTCCTTGTTTCCAGTCAGGGTATGTAAACAAGTCATTGTGGAAGGACAAGAGCAGGTATTTCAGTAAGGCCTTAGCAGGGGATAGCAAGAACTACTGTTAACAAGCATCTCTGTCTGTGTTCTTCTCCTGTGAAGACACTTCTGAAAATGCAGAACATCTGCCTCTTCAGTTACCTGTCTCTTGAAAGAACTCAGTCCTGACTATGAATGGGCAGTCTTTTTCCAGAAGAAGGATTTATTTCTGGGCAAAATCAAGTTTGACTAAATTGAATTTTTTTGATGAATTTCTCTGAAAACAAATGAAGACAAAATTTTGAGGAATTAAAAAGTTCTGGTTTGACTTTTTCAAGTGAAATGGTTCAACTTCTATGTTTCAAAATGACATTTGTTTCAGCATTTGTATGTATCTCCTTTTTTATTTAGAAGGCCCCCTCCCCCATACTTATTGTGACTAGTAGGCTCAAGTCAACCTTTCAGGAGACATCAAGCTCTGTTCCTATTGTTTGACTGAGAAAATTGAAAGATGTCATGTCTGTTTGACTGTGGTTATAGTACTCCCATGGTTATCCACTCACTCTCCCAGAGGGTAAGACCATCACAGAGATGAGACAGCCCAGATATCTTTCTCATTTTCTACTTCCCTCTACTTACTCAGAGCCTTCTCTCCAGAAATGTCCTCATCATACAGGAGCTATGAACTTGGGTACTCCAGAGTGGTCCTCCAGTCCTGCAGTAGCTGTGATTGATGCAAAGGGATGGGACAACTAAAAGTTCAACTTTTGTGGTTTTGTCTTCACAGGTGGGAAAATGGAAGGAAAAGAAGTTGCAGATGAAGTATTATGTGTGGCCACGCTTTGAGTTGTATCCTGACTCTGAGGAACGTGAGGATGATCACCTGAGTATCGTGACCTTGGAAGAGGCACCATTTGTCATTGTGGAGAATGTGGACCCCCTAAGTGGCACCTGCATGAGGAACACGGTCCCTTGCCAAAAGCGCATAGTGACTGAGTATGCACCACTGGGTTTTTCTGCTCCTGTTGGGCTCTCCCTTCTCAGCAGAATGTCGAGTGTCTATTGGGCCAATGCTATCATAACCTGATAATCATTTTTAGAAAATCACCTCCATTTTCCCAGCATGTCCTGTGTCCATTCATGACTGGCCCCTTTGGGCTAATCATTATAATGTGTCCCTTCGCCTTCCAGCACAGATAGCACAAGAGAAACTGTCCACATTATACTGTGGGAAGGGGAATGCCAACTGACAACAGAAGGGAATTAAAGGAGTTTCTCCCGGTCTTTTAACCCATTATTGTTGTCACGGTTTAGGAACAAAACTGATGAGGAGCCAGATTACATGAAGAAATGTTGCAAGGGGTTCTGCATTGACATCCTCAAGAAAATCTCGAAGTCTGTCAAGTTCACCTATGACCTCTACTTGGTGACTAATGGCAAGCATGGGAAAAAGATCAATGGGACATGGAATGGAATGATTGGAGAGGTCAGCAGCAAAGGGGAGCCATGGTGGGGTTTGTCCCTGGGCTGGATGACATGGGTCAGGTCTAGTCTGCCATCATTATTGGATCCCCTTCTGGGACAAGGACAGAGAGTGACTCTAGAAATTATTGTCCTGCATTCTTTCTCGGCAGTGGGTGAATTAATCTGCTCTGACACTCTGACCGTGACTACCTTTCCTGTTTGATGATTAATTATTATTCTCTATGGTCTCACAAATTTGGCCTATACAGTCTTCAAAAGAGGCTGATATCCATGCACCCTAGATTGTGCTTAGGTTGTATATAAGGTGCATAAGGAATGAAATAAGACTTTGCAGTGTTAGAGGGAGGAAAAAACAAGGACAGAAAAATGAGATAAGATGTCTTCTCCGTGGATGATGTGTTTATCCTAAGACCTCTGTGGATTTATTTTTTATACACATACCAGCTTTGAGGGGAAGATTAATGTCTATAGGTTTCCTGAAAGAAGAAGGTGTCCTGATGAAAGATTAGACAGCAAAGATATTACAAACAATATAGGGAATGGGATTACAGGAGTAAAAGGATTGTGTTGAAAGGCAGGAAGATGAGAAGGGGCTTGGCTGTGGTGGTTGAGAACTGCCTCGTGTCTGTGTGTGATCTTTTCCTTTCTTTCCTCCAGGTTGTCACCAAACGGGCCTATATGGCTGTGGGATCCCTCACCATTAATGAGGAGCGTTCAGAAGTGGTGGATTTCTCTGTGCCCTTCATTGAGACGGGAATCAGTGTCATGGTGTCACGTAGCAATGGAACTGTCTCACCTTCTGCCTTCTTAGGTATCAGTTAAATCTAAAATTAAAACTTAAAAAATTAGGTGAAGGTTGCTTGTGATTCTTAGCCTGAAAGTTCCTTTTTGGGAGTACCTGTGGGACAGGTATATAAAAATATACTGTGTTGTTTTAGTTCTAAATCCCAGGCTAGCAAAATCTGGGCAAATGCAAACAGGCACTACATAAGAGTTCCAAGTCAAGGCATTTTTCAGCAACTGTGTGCCTAATCCCAGAAAAGAATGGGCTCACTCAGAGTTGTCACCTACGCTGCAGCACGTGGTTTCCCAGTGACTCAACTAATAGTATGTTCAAGGAGTGTAGGCCAGAAGAAAATTGATTCAAACCTTATAGCTGGTACACCATAGCACTTAGTGATAACAGTTAGCAATAAATTGTTGCACTTTGAGAGACATTATTTGCAAAGGTGTTGTTAACTTGACCCTCCCTTGACAGAGCAACTAGTGGAAGTTAGAGATCTAATAGACCTTTTCAAGAACAGTTGAGCCATCAGTTCTGTGCTGACATTGGGTCTTCCAGTAAAGGCATTTCTAATGTCCTTCGGTGGTGGAGAGTGATCAGAGAATGCAGAAATGATACTGCGTTTCCCCAAGACATTCATGTCTTCCTTGTATCTACTATTTGGCTTTAGAAAATGCTTTATGATGCAGCAATATGGGTTATATAATTACTGCCTGCTCTTTGCCAGAGTCCTGAGAACATTTACAAAGAGAAATAACTTTATACAGGTAATGAAATTTTCCCAAGCCTTTAAGTTGGAGTTTCATGACTACTCCTTCTTCAGGAGTTTTTGCCCTTAGTCAAGTCCACCAATATTGCTGGGCTACGTAAAAGCAATGTTAAAGTTAACTCCAAAATTTTAAACTGCAGTTTAACAGAGGTTACAATATTGGTTATATTCTGGAACAAAATTCTCTGTTTCTCTGATCTGGTTCAGTCCCATTTTTATCTGTTCCATTTTGGAGAAGGAGAAAACCTGACAGAGATCAAATACTTGCAGAACACGAATGCTAACATTTCTAGAATGAGCGAGTGTTCCCATTGCTACAGGAATGGAATAACTGAAAAAACTACTATCGTTATGGCTGAACCTTAGAAATTTGGAGATGCTTTTTGGCTCGATAGCATCTTGAAAGTTGGATGCTTGTCTGAAACTCTGCCAGTTCTGCTTGATTTTCCCCACTCTCTCCAGATGGTACTGGAGGACTTCCTGGGAACAATCTTTTATCAATGCATTTTATTTTATCAATGCATGCCACAATGGCTGCATGTAGTTCCAGATGGAGCTATGTGTCACAAATGGAACAGCACGATGGAATGCAGTCATTACAGAGGCAGAAACTATAGTTCTCCCTGTTCAAGAAGTTTTTCAGAATCAGGTTGAAGGCTTTCTTTCAAGTTCTGTTTTCCCTCAACCCAGTTTGCCCCACATTGAGATCCTCTGGAAAGCAAAGGAGGAGAGGTTAATATCAGGTCTTTTACCATGGTTTTCTCTTCCTCTCCAGAGCCTTTCAGTGCTGATGTATGGGTGATGATGTTTGTGATGCTGCTTATCATCTCTGCGGTGGCCGTCTTCGTCTTTGAGTACTTCAGCCCTGTGGGCTATAATCGGTGCCTTGCTGATGGCAGAGGTAAGGGGAACCCTTTCTTGCTATAATTCCCTCTTGTTTTCAATCCCAGTTCCTTTGTAGGGTGTTTTTTACCTTGAACATGATACAGATCTAGCCCACTCTGAGCATTGAGTTCAGACTAAAGAGGGCAGGGATGGAGGCAGAAAACAGACTCTGAAGAGAGCAGATGTGTATAAAGGATAATTTGCTTGGCCCGAGAGACAGAGCTGTGTTGCCTTTTATGTCTAAAGCAAATACCAGCTCCAACTTGTTTCTCACTGAGGGAAAATGGGCCCTGATAGTCAGTGTTGGCAGGGCCCATGATGCTGCACTCCGTGAGACAATCATAGGGCTCAGCACTGTCAATCCATCCTTCAGTGCTACGACTCCCTGGCAAGCAAGCCACTCTGCCAGCCTCCTAGCACAGTGTTATGTCCTCCAGACTCTACATCTGTCACCTGGTCATGTCTCTCCCCTACTTGGCTCTCTGGCTTTCTAAGGAACTGAGAAAATGGGAAGCTCATTTTCTTGGGAGTGGGCGAAGAATTACTTTGCAAGGGAACCAGGAAAGATGGGAACAACTGAGTGATCCATCTCTGTGGTTCTGATCTTCAGAAGGCAGCCAGATGACTTAAAGAGAGGATGGACAGACAACCTAAGAGACAGCCTTTTTTTCCTTATTGAGATGAAGACAATTAGCAAATTGAGTCTTCTGTCATCTGCATATCTTCACCCCCTGATAAATCAGCCCTCTGAACATTTCTGGGTTTATTGGCCTGTTCAGAATAGTGGGAGAGAGATAGTTACTGAAAAATGCACTCATTTGCTCCCCAGTCTAGTGCTTTGAGTGAATTTATGCCATCAAATTGGAGAGGAATGAAAATAAAAAGTGTAATGAAAATGCAGGCAGAACCACATGCATGGGGAATTGGAGAAAAGTGGAGAATGTGTCTCTTAACATGGAGCTGTGGAGGCCTTTATGGCAACTGATCATAGCCCCATGGATTTGTGGACACAAGTAAGTACTGATAAACCTGTGAGTCTTTTGAGAGATATTGATACACTTATGGAACTGGAAGTAGTTCTTAGTACAGGTGTGCAGTTGTGCAGTTATCAAGACTGCAGCTGAACTGCAGCTGCAATTATCAATATTTCTGAGTAATTATGAACAGTACGGCATGATCAGGCAGATATAATTCCTGACAGATGTGATGTGAAGATATAGAAATCTCCTGCAGAGACTGCAATGCTGCTTTTGGTAATGAACACCCTGGCTAATGTTACTTTGGCTGCATTTGAACTATGGCAGTATGCCCCTGCCTCCCACACCTGCATTTTCTCTTTATGAGTATTAAGATTTTTCTCTCCAGGGTCAAGTGGTCATGCCCTGGTCTAGTCGCTAAATAATGTTGTGCTGTTGTTTGGGCACTCAAAGCTGGAGAGCTCAGAAGGATTCTAGGTTCCTGGTTTGGATTGAAGTCTCCTATTACAGTCTTGGTTTGTGGCTGACAAAGTAACTGTGGAAGCACGTGGTGTGATCAGTGGAGAGAGGAAGGCTTTGAGAGGGAACTTCTCAAGGTTTCCTTACACCTTACACCACTGATGTTTTTCAGGCCTTTCACCTGTGTGTCTTAGGGCACATTAGGTAGAAGGGATATAAAAATACCAGTCCAGCATGTAAAAAAGACAAGGACTTGCCAAACCATGTTTCTTGTAGGAACTTTACCTCACTGGTATCTAGAGGCACCAGTTTTGCCAGGCGATGATTCTGCTCTGGTCTTGATGTGCAGTTCCCTGGGTGCAAAAGGAGACCCCTGCATTGTTCAGTTGTACTTAGAGTAACATGTTAGTGCTTTCAGATGATCTATGCTATTTGCTGCTCAGGGTTTTGGAGAAATGTGTCAAAGCTTTCTTTCCTTTTGCTAATCTACTGGAGTCAAACTTAACCACAGGCAGCAGCACTAGGCTCCAGTCAGCCTACCCAAGTTGATAAAGCATGGGGTGCTGAGCAGGTTGGCAGGTGCTTGAACTGTACCAGAGGATTCTCATCCTAAGATCTTCCTGGTGTCTGAAGCAGGATCCTGGAGTAATTGCATCTGCATTCTCCCTATCAGCTTTTCTTGTGCTCAAGTTGAAGAAATTTTGGTTTAGGTTTCCACTAATGGAACCAGCATGTGCTGGGGTTATGAGGCTGTTGGAAGACAGGTGTGATTTCACAAGTTTTCAGACCTAGTGCTTCATGAGCACACAAGGCTTCTTGTGTGGGGTATGAAAAGTAAGTGAGGGGAAGATAGGAGCTTTTAAAACGCTGGATCTGTTCCTGGACTATCTGGGGCAGAGCTGCGGATATTCCTGAGGTAGATCAGAGTATATGTCACTGTTATGTACCTTAGACACAGAACATGGGGAGAGTGAGCTGTGTTTTTCTCTGGTTCGTGTGTCTTTGGCAGAATGGGTAATGAAACACTCTTGTAGAAGTATTTGTAGAGCCCTGCTATTTCATATGGTGTTCTTCCTTGCACCTGTACAAGTACAGTGTACAGAGAGCCATGTTTTACACAGGTGTATGCTGGGAGCTCAAGGACATCACCCTTGAGCAGCTAGAAATGAGGATAGAATTTGTCTGAGCAAACTATTTCTGGTAACAACACTTGAACCAAAATGAAATGTTTGGGCTTCTAGATACTTCAGTCAAATAAAAAAGAATACCCTTGTATAAGGTTTCAATGGAAATCTCCTGAGACAGAATAATTATCTGAGGATATTTTTGAAAAATAATTTTTCAGGATGTACTTTGTTGAGATATGGTGTCATAAACATAGGGGAGCTCAGATGCAGATATTTACCTCACAAGTGGGAATAGATACTGCTCTTAACTCTGAAGTCAAGATGTGTATGTGAATGGAAATGCAGTCCACTTACTCTCAGATTCTCACTGTGGGATCATGTTTCTCAATCACTCTAGAGCCAGGAGGTCCCTCTTTCACCATTGGCAAAGCTATCTGGTTGCTGTGGGGGCTGGTGTTCAACAACTCTGTGCCAGTACAGAATCCCAAGGGTACCACTAGCAAGATCATGGTGTCGGTGTGGGCCTTCTTCGCTGTCATCTTTCTGGCCAGCTACACTGCCAACCTGGCTGCCTTCATGATCCAAGAGGAATACGTGGACCAGGTGTCTGGCTTGAGCGACAAAAAGGTAATTGATCCACCCAAACCCTCAAAGCAGCCTTTTCTACAGAAGAGGCTGCTTCACCCTCTTTTCTTTGCTTTCACTATGAAACTATGCAGGTGTTTTCATAGCCACGTCATAGCTTTAGACCCTAGTTTGAATAGCACAACTGTTCTTCACTGGTATTCAGTTGCACTTTTACGTATTTTAAGCACTTCAGGAATGAATTATAAACAGAACTGAACTGTACTTGCTTGCACAATTCCAAACAGTACCTTGACTGTCAGCAAGTAACGAATTAATGGAGCTTTGGAGATGATGTGTACAATGGCTATAACCTGTTTTTTCCAGCTGAAATAATTTGTCTGTGCAGGAATGCTAGCCATTAGGCTAGCAAATGTGATCTGTTAATTTATTCTGAGGAAAAGTTCTGCCTGTGGGGGTAAATCAGCACGGCTTTGATGATTTACTATTGCTTACACTTAGCTATAGTGTCTTTTTTTCAAGGTGTTTGGAGGCTTAGCACAAGAAATTGTTTCCTGTTCAGACTGTTTCACTGCCTTGTTTATCTGCACCGCATTCTGTCCATGAAGACCATTTGCTTCTGCTGGACTCTGAACACTTGAGGATTTTGAGGAGATTGCTGATGCATGCATGCAGGGTAGCATTGTCTGGTTCACGAGGGTGTAAAGCTTTGCACACTGCTTAATTTTTGTTTTGGGGTGAGGTTACTCACAAGGAATTCAGTGTTGTGAGGCTCAATTGCCCATGCTGAGTTTGTTACTCAGTCGCCGGGGCTGCTTAAGGGGTCATGCCATTGTAGGGCAGCCAAATAAGCTTGCATATGTTGCTATTGGGGCTAGCAACAAGAAGAGGACCACAGGTGCGAGTTGCACTGCTGGATCGGTTATAGTTACTGATTCTCGTGTCTCTACTGACAGTCTAGAAATAAATTGTAGCCAGGCCCTTTGTGCATACAGTGTCCTGTGCAGCAGGCTAGAAATTCTGTGATGGATTAATTTTTAAGAGTTTTTCTTTTCCATTTGTTGTTTCTTCTTGGAATGAAACATGGCACAGAATAATACAATTTGTGCAGAAGTGCTCCTGTTATTTGTTTTAATTTTTACCTCAGTTTGTTTCACGCTGTCTTAACATTTGCAGTGTGCTGTGTTGAGGATGGGGTGGAGGAGAGGATGTTTTTCTGCCAGATGGAGATTGTTGTGGGCTCCTTCAGACTGAAAGATACTGTTCAAAACCAGCCAGCCCTATCAGAGTTAACATTAGTTTGTCATCATTAGGTTTTCAACTGTCTGAGCTAAATGGGATAGTTTGTACCTGTGATCTGTTGTTTCAGGCTGTGCCTAGGCTCATGGAGAGAGCCATGCATTTATTCTCGTGCTTTTAAGATATTCTTCACACCTGCAGAGATATGTGCATGAAATTTCAATTGAAAGGGGTAACTCCTGGAGCTTCACAGAGCCTTTGGTTACAAGTTTCTGGGCCTATCTTAGCTGATTTCACTGTAGGGTGACCTGTGTGTATTAGATTGAGGTAATTTTCTTCTACTTTTCTTTGCCATGATACCTGTATTTTCTTTTGCTATCCTAAAGCGTATGTGCTTTGTTTCTTGGGGAAGAGAAAGGCCACAGTACATAGTCAGAGCATTGTGGTATGCCTCAAACACAGCTGCTAGTGCAAGTACAATATTTGGGTTTACAATTATTTCCAGTATTTAAAATATTGGGATTACCGTCTACTAGAGCATCTGAAATCAGATGAAAATTGGCTGGTGAAACTGGAGACCAGCAGCTGCCTTTGGAAAATAAAGCCAGGTGAGACTAGCTCCATCCAAAAGATGTGAGTTCATGAGCTTGATCTAATCGTCTCATGGATTTCCATTCTATTGAACATGAAGAGGGCCCTGCAGAACTTGGGAGCAGTCATCCAGGCATTTGTCCCTAATTTGGGAGGAATTCGCTTTTCTGAATCTCATATTTTTCCTTTTCCAAAACCTGCATAATTGCTTGCAGCTCACTCACCCTCTAAATACACTACTTAGCCAGGATGAAGGGTGCAGCCACACCAGGACACATGGAGGTGTGCTGTGCTCTACCTCCCTTTTCCTACCTGCTTAAAGCCATTTCAGACTTTCAAAGCCAGGGGGGAAAGACTATCTTTTCCAAGAGAAAAGGCTGTTGCTTCCAATCTCTTTTATCTCTGATGTCCAATCTGGTGTCCACGGCAGAACTGAGGCAGATCAGTCTCTTGGCCTTCTCCATCATCTGGTAAGGGCATCTGTGTCTAGCACAAGGAGTCAGCAGAGGATGTAATCCCAGCCAACAAGAAAAGGGATACTTATTTTAAGGGATATTGTTTCTACTTGCCTAAACCCAGATCTGCTTGCAAATGTCTTTGTAGTATGACAGTACCCAGGGAAGGTGTCCCACTGGCACTGTAGAGCAGCCAAGATGCCAGATGCACTCATAAAATCCATTACTGTGCCTGGCTGGGGTACACCTGTCAAGGTCAGTCTGGCTGCACTCTGAGACAATTACCCTTGGTCTCCTTGGACCCTCTTCCTTGGGCCTTGTCTGGGAAAAGCCACTCTGAGAGGTGCCTGCAACTGCTGATGTGCCACTTCCCCAGAAAAACAGGCTGAAACAGTCCAGATGTCTCAGGACTTGGATGGTGTCTTGGCTGTGCCCAGCATTTACTTCCTAATGACAGGCAAGACAGTAACTAATGTCGTGTGCCTGCTGTGCTATGTGGATGCTTGAGCGGGTCTATCTGAGCTGGGCTGGAGTGGGTGCCTCTGTGCCAGGGTACCATCTTAAACTAAGGGTGTCTGGAGACTCTCTGTACTGAGCTTAGTGATTTCTGCCACTCTCTCTGTCCCAGGTGATGCTCACCCTGCTGAGTGGCACCCTTTGGGCCTGTCTGGCTCAAAAGAGGTGCCAGACCTTACCCAGGAACCCACCTCATGGCGACTGTTGATTCCACTATGTTAATCTCTGGCTAAATCATACATCAAGCTGTAGCTCTTAACTCTGGGGCAGCTGTGGGCAGTTTGACAGAGGAGAAACCGCTCCTCCCTGAGAGCAGTACTGGCCCTGTGAGTCCTGCAGAAAGAGTGCTGCTCTGACAGTCTCTCCCTTCCAGCTCCCTGTGATTGTGGCATGCTGAATCACTTTCCTTCTGCACAGGTGCCAAACCAGCACCCACTGCCTCCGCTGGTCCACCTTGTGCAGCAGAGGGGATTGATGTGGCCCTGGCAGGGCAGTGCCACGCTGGCCATGTCAGCTGCCCGTCCTAAGTTCTGCCCCTTGGTAGAACTGACGACAAGGATGCCAGAGCATCCTTGCACGCGCTGCTGAGCTGCATCCATCTAGAATCCATGTGGGGGGCTGCTGCCACCCTGACCCCTTGCAAAGTCTCCGGTGGTAAGACAGCCTGTCGCAGAATACTGCAGTCGACTCCCGGGTCTGGATTTCATCTGACTGTAATCAGGAGATATAACCCAATTTCCATTAACGGGAGAGCTTCAGACACATTAGAGAAACAAGCGCCTGCGGTATTTCAGTCTAACGAAGGCAATAAATACAGGAAAGATTATATAAAATGAACTAATGTGTGAAGTAATCTAATAGCTATACATAATTTCCATTCATATACAGTACTAATAGAATAAAAGCAAATGTGGACAGCCAGCAGGGCATTTAAATAAAATAATTTAGAATGCAGTAGGTTAATAATAATAAAAAAATAGTATCCTTTCATATAAATTAGTTGCAAATGCCAAAGAAGCTAATAAAGTATCAAAATGGTAATTTTGTAATCGACATGAAAAGGAGAGAGATGGATTTCTGCATGCCTGCAAATTAATATAGATTGCTGAAATTTCACATGTATTTGACTTCTTTGCTTCTTAAGATGTTAATGAAATGTTAAGACAAAGGGCTTGTTTCTGTTTGGCATAGGTCAGTTATTTTTTCAATAGATATGTGTTTGGTTTGGGGGTATTTTTAATAAGTTTTGAAGTTAAAGCTGGCCAATATTTTTACTGAAAAAAATCTGAGGAGAGCATAAGAAAGCAGAAGGAAAATCTGATATTTTCCGAAGTAGCTCATTTTGGTATACTTGAAACAAAATACTTTGATATTTCTGATATGTATTTTGACATGTCATTTTCTAAAGGCACTACTCATAAAATTGACCTAGATTTAGAGAAAGTAGTATAAAAAAATGGATTTTTTTTCTGTAACAAAGCAAAGGGACAGAAGGAGATAATTAGAAGACAAAACAACACATGTAGTTCTGAGGCGAAAGAAACATTTCAGGATGATACAAAGCTAAAGTCTCACTGAAAAACCTGCAAACCGCTCCCCCCGCCCACCCCGATCTGCTCTATTCTGGCAGATGCTTGGCCATGAAACTGAAAAATGAATTATTTTCCACTTTGTACTCTGCAGAACATTAAATCGACATTATACAAGGATCCCAGATATGCAGAACACTTAAGCATGTGCTTAACTTTGCGCTCATGAGTGGTGACATTAAAGTCAATGGACTATTATTCACATGATTGAAGTTAAATGCTTTTCTGAGCTTGCAGCTTTTGTACAACAAATACCTGTTCTGGAGAAGCCTAGGGAAATGCAGAGCAGATATCTGCAGCTATACATTTTTCAAGAGGACTAAAAGTGGGGGTCAGTCTTTTACCTTGTAAGGTCTGTCATGGGAAGATTGTCTATCTGGATGGCTTGGAGGCAGTACAAATCTTCCATGGGGTTAAACATTCACTATCAAGAGACATTTGTGGTAATTTCACACATTTTGGCAGGATATAAAGGAGTTTTTATGTGGTGGTGTCCAAAAGCAGAAAATATGCAATCCTTTCAACAGCAGTATGATTTTTATTCTCAGGACACCTTTGTGGTGATATGAGTTAGCTGGACAGAAGTAAGACTGTGCCACTACCACTAGATCCGATAGTCTGAACTTTTATGGCTTACAATCTGATTATTTCC